AAATTATAGGGACCACTAATATAATATATTTATTACATCAGTGATCCGTGTAATTTATTTTTACACCAGTGGTCTTCATAATTTGTTTTGTATTCCACTTTGGTCCCTCTAATTTTGCACATTGTATTTTTCTGCTTCAAATTCTAACAGTAAATGACAGAAGGTTCACATTATAACAAAATTTAAAATGTAGAGTTTAAATTGTACAAATTTAAACTATGGAAACTAGATGTGTAATTTACCCTTAAAAAAATACCTTGCAAATATAATCATTATCCACCATTATAAACCATTAGGATAATTCTATTTACATACCACTAATCCTCTCAACACACACCATTACTTAATACACACACATAATAAGTTTTAGAGTTTGAAAATATCTTAGTTCACGCCTTAACTTTCCATTGCTAGCCCTAAGATAACACTACATGTTCATTTGAATACACACCATAACCCACACCCAAATATCTCCCATCTTCAGAACACTAGAGACTTCCATCATCAAAACACCATAGATCTCCAATGTCACCGTTGAAGATCTTCATCGCCGGCAGAGAGTTTCATTCGGCAAGTGCATTCTCGTCATTTCAAATTTCCATCGTCGACGTCATTTCACTGTTGGCTTCCCAATGCATTGTCATCGTTTCAAATCTCCATCTTCACTGTCGTCTCGTCATTATTTCATTGGTGTATTGTCAGTATTAAAGATTTGTCATTCTCACCCTTAATTCACACATTTGATTCTCACATTGATATGTTTTTCTTGATTTGGTTACCGATTCAACTTCCACAGCAATTTCTATTTCGAATTTGGCTCAACTCTGGTTTGTCTAAACGTAATATCATCCTACAAAAAATAAAATTGAACAAATTAAATATGTTCAAAATAATTATGTAGAACAAAATAAATGCATTCATACTTTATATACTGAACAATTTCTACTCATTCAAGTTTATTATTTTGAACATATTAGATTTTCTCCCCCTTGCATCCCTCCGGGGGTTCTGTCGTTGAGGTTCTAAATCCGCCATGGGAGGGATAGAAGGCAAACCTTCGCACATTCCACCCCCCTCCGGGGTTTGTCCGTCGATAACAGATTACGGTAAATCTTCATTGTGCACCATGGGTTTCAGTTGGAGAGAAAAACTCGATCAAAAAGTTTTGTTCTTTGTGGAATTTCCACAGACGGCGCCAATTGTACGAGCGCAGAATAATCTTCTCGTATAATCTTGTTAATCAAGTTTGCGTTTCCTCCAAACGTCGTTGCTTTACTCCCTGAAAACACAAACGTGAGCTAGCCGGCGAGTGTGTGCCGAATACCTCTCTGATGCCTAAGTCAGCAAAATAGACAAATAGACAAAAGCTCTGTGTATTCGAGAATCAAAGTTGTGATACCTGTACATAGGTTCTGTTGTGAGCTTTTATAGTTTTTGCCTGGTACAATCCTAGTAGGATTCTTATTCCTCAATGTAGAGTTCTCTTAGGAATCACACTCTTGAAAGATAATGCTTACCCTTCAACACCCGCATCACTGCTTAAACCAAGTGAGATGGTTTTACCACAGTTGAATAACAGTATGACTGGGCTAACACTAGCCCTTTAACATACTCAATCTGGTGCTGTCATATGCAACGCCTAGCTCGATCCCTGTCCTCGGTTTGGCTGTTTGGACTGAGCTAACCGCAGTAGCCTCTGACCGAGCTAACAAGGGTGAGGTCCAATTTAGCGAAGCTAAACACCTCGGCCCATAGCTCGGCCCAAACTTCTCCTGGCCCAAGCGCGTTAGTGCTTAGACCGAGCTACAGCAGCTCCTATCTCGGTCCGACGTGCGGCCTAACTTCGAAAGAAACCTCTTCCTTAGCTCGGCCCAATTTATTTATAAATTACCCTCCCAGTTTCAATACAAATAAATTAACCTCCGCATTTTCAATTTTCTTGCAATGTGATCCCTCCTTCATTTATTGTGAACATTTTAAAAATTATGAACAAAATTAAATAAACTAAAATAGAATTCAAATCAAATTATAGGGACCACTAATATAATATATTTATTACATCAGTGATCCGTGTAATTTATTTTTACACCAGTGGTCTTCATAATTTGTTTTGTATTCCATTTTGGTCCCTCTAATTTTGCACATTGTATTTTTCTGCTTCAAATTCTAACAGTAAATGACAGAAGGTTCACATTATAACAAAATTTAAAATGTAGAGTTTAAATTGTACAAATTTAAACTATGGAAACTAGATGTGTAATTTACCCTTAAAAAAATACCTTGCAAATATAATCATTATCCACCATTATAAACCATTAGGATAATTCTATTTACATACCACTAATCCTCTCAACACACACCATTACTTAATACACACACATAATAAGTTTTAGAGTTTGAAAATATCTTAGTTCACGCCTTAACTTTCCATTGCTAGCCCTAAGATAACACTACATGTTCATTTGAATACACACCATAACCCACACCCAAATATCTCCCATCTTCAGAACACCAGAGACTTCCATCATCAAAACACCATAGAACTCCATTGTCACCGTTGAAGATCTTCATCGCCGGCAGAGAGTTTCATTCGGCAAGTGCATTCTCGTCATTTCAAATTTCCATCGTCGACGTCATTTCACTGTTGGCTTGCCAATGCATTATCATCGTTTCAAATCTCCATCTTCACTGTCGTCTCGTCATTATTTCATTGGTGTATTGTCAGTATTAAAGATTTGTCATTCTCACCCTTAATTCACACCTTTGATTCTCACATTGATATGTTTTTCTTGATTTGGTTACCGATTCAACTTCCACAACAATTTCTATTTCGAATTTGGCTCAACTCTGGTTTGTCTAAACGTAATATCATCCTACAAAAAATAAAATTGAACAAATTAAATATGTTCAAAATAATTATGTAGAACAAAATAAATGCATTCATACTTTATATACTGAACAATTTCTACTCATTCAAGTTTATTATTTTGAACATATTAGATTTTATGTTATTTATTTATTTTGTAAATATTGAATACTATCTACTTTTTGTCAAAAAAGAAAAAGAAAAAAAATACTAAATTATTTAATTGAATTAAATTTGAGAAATGAAATTTTTAAGGAATTAAAGACCATATTTGGTTTGTATATGTGAAATCATTTTGAAAATAATTTTCTAAAAAGATTTTACAAAATTTAAAATCTTGTTTGATTGTATATTTTGAAAATAGTTTTAGATAATTTTGGTTTTTTTATTTTTATTTTTTGTAATTGAATAGATGGACGTGAGAAAAAATATGATTAATTGATGAATAGAATGTGAAAGAATAAGAGGGGAGAGAAGAAAAAAATGATTGATTGATGTGTAGTAGAGATAAAGTAATTTTAACTTCTTTTTTTTTCAAAAATTTTTAATCAAACAAATTTTTGAGATTTTTTTCTCAAAAATTGTGTCTCTAGATACAAACCAAACAAGGCCAAAATGTTCAATTTTTTATATATGAACATTTATAATTTGGTTAACCCTCATAATTTAAACAAAATTATTTTGTTCGAATAAAAATAATCGAATATTATGTAAAAGTTCAACTTTGATTATCCGAACAGGTGATGAACAAAGTCATCTTTTCAACGATTATACGAACGAGATAAACAAAAAATCAAAAAGCTAAGTATTGAACTAACATTTTCATTGTTGCACTGTTCGAAATCAACAATCTCAGTGTCATCCATAGTGTGCAAATCTTCAAAACTAATTAATTTCAATATTTTTAAATTCAAAAACCAATTGATTTCAATGTTCTTAAACCATAAATCTTCAAACCCAATTTATTTTGGATATTTATATGTCTATAAGGGATGATGGTGTGTGAAAAGTATTTTTGTATTTTTATATATAAAATCTTTGAATGGTTAGAATACACCCCCATATTATCCTTAATGGTCTTTTCATTTGACGATATTATTATAATATAAATTTAGAGGGCAACTATTTACACAAGCCTCATTTCTTTGGATGCCCCACTCTTTCATTTTTGAAATTCTAATTTTGTTCAAAGATAAAATTTCATTTCTACTCTCATCCCTAACTCTCTAACCCTAACTCTCTAACCTTAGTTTTCCAAACCCTAACCCTAATTCCATCACCTCCAACAACACTCTCCTCCTTTCCACCATCTCATTGTCGTCATCACTACCAAAACCCTAACTCTAGATCTCACGCCTTCTCTCTCAACTTTCCATCACCTACAGAGAGTGAAAGAGAGAGTCGCTAAGAAGGAAGAAAAAAAAACAGAGAGAGAGAGAGAGAGAGATCACGAGTTTGGTGGTTAGAATCAAGCCTCGTCATCGCTGAGGGCAACACTAGTGATGGGAATTGTTGTTGTTTCAAATCACAACGAAGCTTCTGATCATCATTTGTAGGTTGCAATTTGGATTCGTGAGTTGTGGGTTGTGATTTGGGTTTGTGACACTCTAATACAACTGGGGCTTGGTGCAAATCGAAATGAGGTGTTGTGGGGTTTGAAGCTGAAGATGATAATAGAAAGAGATCGAACCAAAGAGAGAACCTTGGAGGTAAAGAGACAGCGAGAGAAGATAAAAGAAGATGCGAGATGGTTTAGGATTTTGTAGGTGAAGAAAAGGAAGAGACAAGGATGGAGAAGGGAGTGGTCGAAGATTGAGAGAGGGGTGGTCGGAGCAGGGAAGAGAGCTACCGAACAAAAAGAGAAGAGGAGTGGGAGGGGTTATGAGATGAGGGGTAAAGTTGGGAATATGGTGGGGTGTAAAGAAAAATTGGTAAAATATAATTTGAATGGTGAGGGGAATAAAGAAACAGAGGATTCAAAGAAAAAAAAGATAGAGATATTTACCAAACCTTTAAATTTAGGAGTTATTTGGAATGTTCTAAATAAGTGCACTTTTTAACTTTTTATAAAATATGAGTTGAGTTTGAAGTGATGTTGTAGAGATGTGAAAAGATTAGTCATGTGTAAATAGAATTTTCCAAACCATTACAAGGGAATGATGATTTCATTCCATATGAGAGCCCATTTAATGAACCAAATAGAGCATAAATGTTTTTAGAACTAAATCCCAAAATCATGGAGTCAAATAAACACTTAAATACATCTCCAAAAATTCTACAGTAAATCGTTTTACATACCAGTTTTACCAATCTAATTTAATTTTCCAGGTCCAAACTAACCCTAGTTTTTCAACAATAGGGCTATAGACAGACCTGATCAATGGCAGGCTTTCCGAATGACAACCGTCCCCAGATCACTCCTCCTTGTGCTTAGAGAACTTTCTAGAATCTGGTTTTCGGCCTCCACCTGTACATCTTCCTACTAACTTGAGAACCTCATCGATTAAAATCACCGGAAATGCAACGGCCAACACGAGGAGCCATTCGTTCAGGCTTAAAGGAACAATGCTGAAAACTTGAGCAAGGAAAGGCACATAAAGGATCAAAAAGTGAAGGCCGAATGAAATTGACATGGCCACGAGGAGCCACGGGTTAACCCATGGGGGCATTGTTAAGAGGCTACCATCTTCAGACAGGGCATTAAGGGAATTGAACATCTCGATGGCGACCCAGACGGAGAGGGCAAGAGTCATTGCTTTTATTTTGCCTGTTTGGAAGTAGTCACACGGATCTTTAAACTCAATCAATTGAGACCCCGCCTTGAAAGGTGTTGCTGAGAAACCCTCCCAGGAATGGCAACGACCCCAGTCGGCAAGTTGGGAATAGGTGACAAGGCTGTGACCGTCTGCGCTTAGGTCAATGCCGAAGAAAGAGTCGTGAGTGTACCATATGATAAATATTCCCACGGTTGCGATCCCAACATAGAGTCCAATCACCTGCATCCAAATTGATAAATAGTAGCACCGTGGTTGTTAGAAGCTTATGATTTACAATTCGATATGAGTTTCAAGCAAAATGATTCAATTCATGCAATTGAATTTTAAATAGAGTGAATCTTACAATTCAATTCCGATTTATTGCAATTCGGAATATTCAATTTTGTTTGCATAATGCATAAAATGACGCCATTTTCACACACACACACACAAAGGAGGAAGAAAAGAGAAGACAAGAAATCAACTAATTATATTGATATTGATATTGATATACAGGATTTTATATACATATACAACTTAATTTAGTTATATTGATATATAATATACAAGATTTTATATACATATACAATTTAATTTAGTTATATTGATATATAATTCATTTAAAATACAATGTGATTTTTATATGTATATATATAAAATTATATATTATGTTAAATAAAGTGAATCTTAGGATACACGATTTGACAACAATGAGTAGCACAACAAATTACTTCAGGTGTCCAACAGATATAAGTTCTTTGAAAGCCAAAGGAGCTAGCTATAATACCAGATAGCGGAATAAAATCCAAGCACTGATTAATGAGTCGTCACTTCTTCGAGGGGGTTTCTTCATAACATCCTTTTCTGGTGGATTAAATCCCAAAGCTGTTGCTGGGGGTCCATCAGTCACAAGATTGACCCACAGAAGCTGAACAGGAATCAGACCCTCTGGAATACCTAGAGCAGCCGTCAAAAATATAGAGGCAACCTCACCAATATTTGATGAGATCATGTACCTGTGATGATGATTAAAACATCAGGATCATTTTCATGGCAATGGCATCATACTGTTAACCTTGTTGCAAGGTTTTCTATAAACTATTGAGTGCAAGGTTGGGGTTGCGAGAGGTCATCTACATTAGCAATGGTCCTTTGTAGTCGTAAGAATTGTACAGATTGATTCACTTCATCATTGGCAAAGCAAATTGTTTTTATTCATTTAAAAACAACAGATTCTCAACCAAAAGGCATGCATACTAAGAAAGTCAAATGGAATGTAACACAAGCATTTCATCATTTCCAGGTGTGTAATGATGATCCCAGTAAAGAGCTATAAGAATGAATGATATCAAATAGCATAAATAGTTAGTTTGTAAATATGGACCATACCCGCCTCCATATTTAGGGTTGAATCAGATGCCAAGTAACATTATAGAAAACCCATTTCAACATAGACTAATCATAAACGAACCAAGGCTAGGCCAAAAGATACATGAACTTGATGTGGGGTTCATATAAATAACTCCAACCATGTGACAGCACTCGCAGACCATCCAGCACAAGACCAAACCCCACAAAAGACCAGAGAGAACCTAAAATCAAAAGAACTTTATAGCCTACAGTAACCACACTTTAGCAGTGTGTAGACCTCTCAGAACTGCTACAAGAGAGTGTGAACTGGAAAAATAAAAGCAACACCCAAGAAAATGTTTTAAAATCCAATAAAACAAAAGGAAAAAATAAAATGATCATAGAGGTATGGGGTGGAAAAAGAGGGCAGTGGCAGAAACTGTTTACAAATTGGGTACGAGGATCAGGATTGGCTGGCTACCTAAGTAGGAGTATCATATAGGATTAGTATGGAAAAGTACCACGTGAGCATAAGAAAATATACCGCATCTAAACTTGGCAATTCAACTTGAAATTTCCCAGGGCAAGATGCATGGGGATGATACCTCAAAGCTAGGAAACATGGATACTTCAATAAACATGCCATATCCGTAACGGGTACTTACCGGCATATGATACTTTGTATGGTACTTCTGCATACGTACCAGGTACATGAAACACGTATCCAAATTTTTTCTTCTTAATTTTGGCATACCTAGACGTACCTAATATAAACCCAAGCCGTACCATATCTTAATCAAAACAATATTTTCTTCTACTAAAGAGATAAAATTCATTTTACTAGATTGCTTTTTTATTTTTAGTTTTATACTTAGCATGATTTTCATATTAAGCTATGGTTTGTAAGTTATTTAATATAATGACGTTTAATTTTAATTTATACCTTTACTTTTGGCATTAAATGTTAATTGTAGGTTGGATCTTAACAAATTAAACCATTTGATCAATTTATACATTATTCTAAATTAGAAATAAACATTTTGTTACAAATTTACCAAGCCGTACACATACCCTACTTTTTTAAAATTTTAACGTATTGACGTATCCATATCGTACCAGTATCCGTACCCGTACCTGTACCTCATAGCCTCAAAGACCCAGATCCACATTGCTAAAGACCATAGCGGTTCAACAGGAAATTATGGCAGGCTGGGAGATACAGGTTCACGTTGGAACTGAACACACATTTTTTCTCTCTCTTCTTGATCTCTTCTTGATGTAGAATTTTCATTTTCAGGAAATTAGTCCTGGTTCAAGTGAGTAGTACACCTAGGATGTGTTACCATGGAGGTAAGACTTTTGAGCAGTTGGCTGCTGGTAAAGTCCTTTGGGAAGTTAAATCTTAGGTTACAGTTATCTTCTTCACTTGAGCCATTTTGGAGTCCCATACTCCTAAGGTGGCTTTCTTTGTCTAGGCAAACAGGTGCTGGTAACATTTCAACAGGCATCCTGATACATGTCTAGAAGAGATTTGGATGCAGAAAACAGCTTTCTCATTTGCTGTCCATAGGGCAATAAGTTGTGGTCTCTCTTTCACTCTCAGTTCACAATCTGTCAATTTACACCCTGCTCGTTGGCCAATCCTTTTAAAGGTTGGTGGTGCAGCATCTTGCTGTCACCATTTTGTTGGAAGTAGTCCTAGTTCCTGTTGTGCAGTGTGTAAGAGAGAAGCTGCACAATAGATGGATGTTTGAAAAATCAAAGCTTTGAGATAATTAACTGGCCACTATGGTAGTTGAGGTTTCATTCTAATGCATATCTTCTGAGGGAGATCACTGCCCATAGTTTGTGGATCTGTCCTTCATTCCCTTTCACCTGTTACCTACCACTTTTGGATTATTCAGCTTTTGTACCTATTATGTTCGTGAGTATTGCCTCCATTCTCTTTGCAGATATAATTCTTTGACTAAAATATCTTAGAAGATAAAGAAACAAAGGATTAAAGAAAGATATTTTTTTAAAAGCTAGTATGACAAACCTGTGTTACCAGAAAACACTAATACCCTAGTGAACTACGTATTGGTACACACGTTCCGAAATATAGTACACTTTCGTTCCAAAATGATAAATTTTAATGATCTAAAGCGATCCTAAAAGTTTTTTCCAATATATTTTTACCTTAGGAGGAATAAAAATCAAATATAACGAACAAAAAATTAAGGTGACTTAAGTTTTGACAAGACAAAAACATAAAAAATGGAAATATATATATTTTATTAGATGCCTAATAGTTAAAATAAATTTACTATAGAAGTACGTTAAATTCTTCAGTGTAATACATACAAGTCTACCCTTATTATACCACATTTTAGAGCATGTAACGTACCACGTTCCCGTTTCTGTTCCACATACTGAAACAATCCATGTCCGAGTAACATAGCCACAAACATATGGTCAAACTTATGGGCGAGTACACAGAAGACCTTACTTATAGGAAGACTAAAGGCAAAGACAACCTTATCAGTAAAGCTGAGAATTGTTTCACATAGCTTATCCAGGTTTTTCAAACCATAAGCAATTTATATATATATATATATATATATATTTTGATAAATAGCCATAAGCAATTTATATGTAAACATATGTATAAAATTAATGTCGGTGTATATGTCTGTAAACATATATTTTGCTTTTTGATCGATCATTCCCATTCTAGTGATCGATCATGTTCTCACAAGAGAAAAATACGCAGACTTATGGCAAAGTAGACCAAAATAAGTACTTCTAGATTAAACCCTAAAAGCATCAACCCAGTCCCATAGTGGAATTTGGTAAAAGCTACGAAAAACATGGTAGAGAAATAGACCTGATAAAGGCCTTCATATTATTGTAAATAGATCTGCCTTCACCTACAGCAGCAACAATTGTACTGAAATTGTCATCTGCTAAAACCATGTCAGAAGCTTCCTTTGCAACCTAGAACAAGATACACTGAAAATAAGTAATGACAAGACAAAAAACTTCAAGTGATCTAATGGTAGCACCAATTTCAAAATGAGGAAAGAATTTAAAAATGGCTTGGTCAAGTGCAACATAAGACCAAAACTACACAAATAATGAAGGTCTTAAAAGGACAAGAGACGGAAAATCATAAAGGTTTTTAATGGTTGAAAAAGGCCTAATGTTTTTTAGAGGCACAACTGACTGACCCCAAAATGGACACACATACAAACATAACGTCACTCCAAACATTTAGATTTCATGTGAATATGATTAACGTTAGATTGTATTTTTTAAAAATTATTTGAGAACACCTCCACCAGGCTTCTTGCATGCATTCAGAGCCACTGAAACATTTTTGCAACTATGACTTAAAATGTATTAAGAAGCAGATGATGACTGCACCTAATCCTCAACACGTCAGGAAACCAACGGAAGTTCATTAAAAATTAGCAATGCTCAATACCAAAATAAGGTTTAAAATTTGTTTACCATCAAAAGTCATACAAAATGAAAGTGTATATGGTAAAACATTTCTTCTGTTTTCTAATTCAATATACTCTACAATACCATCTTTGCATTAAAATGTAATACATTAACACTAACGAGAAAACAAAAATAAATACCTCAGTTCCAGCAATGCCCATTGCAATTCCAATATCAGCTAATTTCAAGGCAGGTGCATCATTCACCCCATCTCCAGTCATTGCAACTACTTCACCATCTTCTTTGAGTGTTCTGACTATTTCTTGTTTATGCCTTGGTTCAGCCCTAGAGAACAGCAGGCCTCCGCTTTGCCTTAGATGACTTTTGGGGTCAGGAAGATCCATAAACTCTCTCCCTGTTAAGCTTTTAGAACTAATGTCCTCATGTGGTCCAAATACACCTATCTCGCGACATATAGCTTCAGCTGTATTCTTGTTATCTCCTGTAATAACCATTACTTGAATGCCAGCTGTTCTGCAGTCCTCGATGGCTTGGCGGACCTCTTTCCGAGGTGGATCCTTTGACAAAATAAAATTAAGTTAATACACCTTCATTTCTTCAAGCGTACTAGGAACACTTAACAAATGAAAATACTAATGTGTTTGAGGGATGACAAGCAAATGTGCCAACTCACTCTTAGGCCAGCCAAGCCAACAAAAGTGAGTTTACTCTCAATTGCAGAATAGTTAGATGGATTAAGTAAAAGCTCATGTGCTGGATGGTCTTCATCACCATTATATGTAGCAAACTCACGGAGGTCCTCCTTGTAGGCAAAACCCAAACAACGTAATGCACTTGAGGACATTTCATGCAGGCTTTGTAAAATAATATCCCTCGAAGTTTGATTCAGTTCTACAATAGAACCATCAAGCAATTGAACAAAAGAGCTTCGTTCCAACACATATTCTACTGCACCCTGCCACAATGAAGCATCTGTTCATTAGTCCCGTGAATGCCTCTATGAAACAAATTGGATCAAAACAGAAGGATGGAAAACAAACATTCTGTTGAAAAAATATGCATGTTGACCTCCACTGTGGGATTTTCAATGATGAGAACATAAATTTTGCAACACAGACGAAAAAATATTGACACACATTAAGGTCCAATGTTTAGTCATTATGTCTAACTAATTCTTGTGAGGTATAGGCATTGAACAAAACACCATAAGATAATTTAATGGCAGATAAACAGAATCTTCTAAAAAAGTGAATCAGAAAGATCAGCTAACAAGTCTTTGACAAGGTATACTTTCATGAATGCAGCAACTCCAAATAATCACTTCTAAAATGCAATCCAGAAACTCAGAACATATCCAAAAATGCACTTATCAGATAAAGACTGACACCCAAAAATCAAAATAAAGTGAACCCATAAACTTACATGTCAGTCTGCATTTATTGTTGATGAAACGATGAAGATAAAAATTGGACTTCATCATTGCTACAACTTGTGGAAAAACAGCAAGTCCAAGAAAGCTCATGTTTTATGGAAGGAAAAGGCTATCATGAGATCAGAGCCCCTATTTTCTGGTTCAATCATGCATAAGCGTCCTATATCTAATTAAGCACCATAGGGTGATCAAACCATCAAATTTTCACATCAAAATTTGATTTGATATGACAAAAAAAAAAAAAAAAATTCTACTTAGACCCAGTTTGATCCTATTCACTCTGTGACCATGTGTGTTCTCTAGCCTAGGTGGACCAATTAAAAGGAGATTTTGTGTATAAATCATGACCTTGACCCTATGAAGCACCGACACTTCAAAACCAGTGTCATATCCATGTCAAACACACGGACACTTCGGTGACACGTATGAGTCACACCACACAGCGTGTCCCCTTATTTAATTAATTTATTTTTAGGAGACACTAAGGACATGCCAAATTGTCTTTTCTCCCATTTTATTTAGTGCTTTTGACAAATATCGAATATTTATTACTTTTTCCTTAGATTTAAAGGTAAATTACATATACACCCCCTGAGATTTAATTAAAATACGAATCGCCCCTTATGGTTTTGAAAATTACTGTAGAGGGTTCAAGGTTAGAGAGGTGATTAGAGGGGCAAGACTATGCTGATGGTCCAATAATAATAATGGGAGTGGCTTGAGAATGAACAGCAGCAACTGTCTGGGAATTAAAGAGTGTGTAGCTGGGTGAGGGTGAAGCAAGTGGCTCAAGAAGAAGTGTATGGCAGTACCAAATTGGGCAGCATCTCCCTTAAATCTCCAAAATTCCTCCTCCAAACCTTGGGAAATGGGTCATATTTATAGGCTTTTCCTTGGTGCCAAGAAGACACCAAGTGGCCAAATAGAGAGAAGACGTGTCCCAGAGGATCACATGGAATATTCTGCCTCACGCCACCAAGCTAAAGGTGCCACGTGTCCCTCTGTATGTACTGTGTACTATGTGTTTGCCTCCGCAACTACCTTTTTAAAGCCTCAGCAAGTGTAGTTGCGACGGGAGTGTTTGGCGCTACAACTCCCTTTTGAGCCTCAGCAAGTGTAGTTACAACGAGAGTACTTGCCTCTGCACTTTCCTTCTCAGCTTGAACCTCAGCAAGTACACTTGCAGCGGTGAACCTTGCCGCTGCACTGGCCTTCTCAATTCTACTTGGCCAGTACATGCATTCTCAGGACTCCATTAGTCTGCTATCGACTATGTTCATGCTTACCTCAGCGAAACCTCCACCCTTAAACCACCTAACCACAAACTCCCCAGCTTCCCAGGGCGAAAGCCACAGCCAAGCCTACTATCGGCCATGCTGTGCCTTAATACCAAGCCCAAGGGGGCTTCCGCCTGTGTGACTAAGGCAAGTCCATGAGCTGGGTAAGGAAAAGGGAGTCCCTTATGTTCAAGCTACCCTGCTTCCATCTTCACGGGGTTGCCGCAGTAAACTAGTATTTCTGGGCCTGCTATCAGCTCCCACCAGTAAGTCTTGGGGCCTGCTATCAGGGCCACGTTAAATGAACTGTGGGGCATGCTATCAGCCCTAGGCCATTAATGCCTTGGGGCTTGCTGTCGGCGCCATGCATTAGCCTCTGCTTGCAGGGGGCAAGCCTCTCTCAAAGACTGCTATCACCTTGGTAGAATATTCCCTCTGCAAGTTAGTTGTTGCAGTAGTAGTTGCTGCGGGAATCGTTTCCCGCGGCAAGTCCAGACAACATGGCCGAAGATATTGGAGATGGCAGCGCCGACAGAATGCCTCTGCATCTTGGGCGTTGCAAGTGTTGCCTCAGCAACCTAGTTGCCTCAGTCATACCTTTCCCTCGACAACTCCAGGTGATCGTAACACCGACATTACTTGGAACGGCGACGGCACCGAAGATACTTAGAATGGCGGCGCTGAGACAAAGTGCCTCAACAACTTTGCCGCTGCACATGTCCCCTCGACAATTTCCAATGACAGCAGAGCCAAAGTTAATAGGGATGGCGGCGCTGAGACAAAGTGCCTCAGCAACTCTACCATTGCACATGTCTCCTCGACAACTTCCAATGACGGCAGAGCCGAAGTTAATAGGAATGGTGGTGTTGAGACAAAGTGCCTCAGCAACTCTACCGCTGTACATGTGGCCTCTGCAACTTGACTTGGGCATTTTTCCTCGCGGAGTCCATACTTGATTTGGGTTTTAATTTCTGAACCCTCTACATTTTGCCCTCTGCGCGCGTGGGAGACACGCTCCTTGTTTCCCGCGCGGGCATGACATCAGCGGGCAACCCAAGGGTTGCGTCAGTTCTAAAAAGGTAGCTTTTTGATTGCCAGGTCATAATGGACCTAAGGCAATGTGGTTGTCTCCCCTTTTCTGATTTTCTTTATAAATAATGCCCTTGGGTCCACCGGTCCCCCACTTCTTCCCAACACACCTTTCTGTCTCCTTTGTCTTCTTCTCTCCTTTGCCTCCTCTTTCCAAAGCTTTTGACTTTCTTTATTCCCTTTCATAGCCAACACGAGGTTCTTGCTGACAGGGCTGTCCCACCCACTACTGAGTGAAGGCGGGCCCCTTACTTCGGAGGGTTGGCCGACCCCTTCTGGAAGGCGGTTGATTCCTTTGTTCCTAGCACCCCTTCTCTAGAAGAGCCTCTGTTTCCTTTCGAGGAGGCCACCTTAGAAGATACGGACATGGTGAACCCGATTTCTGTGCTGCGGTTTTGTGTGTAGCGTGGCGACTTTCCGCATTCTTACATCTATTATCATACTCATTCAGGTCCTCCAGCAGATTGGTCCCTTTAGGTCGACGACGTCATGGCAGATGGTGGTTTCGAGAAACGCCTGCGTGATGTTCGCCTCTTCAATGCCATCTTGATCTCGAGGGAGTTGTCTGTGCGTAAGGTGCAAACCAACACTGACATGATTGTCTCCCGTTGGAGTCGTGACACCCACACTTTTGTCTTGGCATAGGAGGAGGTGACCCCAACCCTGGAAGACGTCGTTGTTCTCTTGCGCCTCAGCACCTGTGGAGATCAGCCCTTTCACCCAGTGTCTCTGACCCCTGCAGAGCAAGTCACCGTCACTGCTCTTCAAACCGCCTTTCGGGAGGCACAGAAGTTTGGTTCATGGTATAGTCTTAGAACCAGGAAACTGCTCTAGGAGAGGCCTAAGAGGGATAAGACCACATATCTCTCTTGGTTAAAGCACTTCTTCAAGCACCTGCAGCCAGTGGTAGGTGACGTTACTGAGGAGAATCGCAACTCCATAGTTGGGTCGAGCTACCGAGGCGACTTGTACTTGGCTGCATTTGTGAGTTATTTCATTTCCTTCTTTGTCTTGCCCAGTAACCCCGCCGAAAGCATCAATCCTCTAGTATTTCCCTTCGCCGTGAAGCTTTGCAACGGTAATCAAATTCCTCTGGCTCCCCACTTTCTGGGTAACTTATATTTTCGTCTTGACCTCATCCATTCAGACATGGAGCGATCCATGGGTCGCTATGACGTGTGGAGCTTTATGCATACCTTGTTCCTGACTGCCTTCTTCTATGAGAGATTTCCTGCCAAGGGCCCCATCCCTAGAGAACATGAACCCTTCATTACTGATGAAATCTTTGATGCAGAGGGCCACCCTATCCTAGATGCAAAGGGTCAGCCTATCACGAGGCAGTCAGTCCTTTCCTCGTATCTCTCGGTGGTCTGGCCTTAGCACCAACAGGCCCTTTTCAGACTCTGTTGATCATATGGAGGAGTGCGTCTTCCGCCCTTTCACTCAGCCTCTCCTAGGCATTTCTGTTGTCCCCTTTTATTTTTCAAAAGCCCGCCACGTTGATTTTTCTCTCGACAGCATCCAAGCTAATTCTCTCCTTATTGCTACCATGATTCGCCCCAGATTCTTGCTTGTGTGGAATAAAGAAGGTACGTCCAGCATCGTTTACCGACCGGACAGGGTCCTTATGCAATTCGGGATGGACCAGGGCGTTCCAGATGCTCACCCACCTCAGACTGATTTCCACGGGAGTTTTCAGCGATTCATTCGTGACTACGCCGCTCTACTTATGGAGGGCCTTGGAGTCATGGAGCTTCTTTCACTTGGAAGAAAGGGTGCCTGTACTCCTAACAATAGGCTATTCTGGCACCGCAATCTCAATTCTTTCTTCAATTTTTGCAACAGTGCCTCGGTCGTCCCCGCAGTAGAACCTATTTCGCAACCCGATTTGTCCCTTCGGCTACCTTCTAGCCGAGGGAAACAATCCAGCATATTCTGCCACTTCAAGCTTCTGTCCTCGCACGTTGTGGAAGAGCCTCATCCTTCTGGGGCAATGTCTGTTCAACCCTTGTAAACTGCTCCCCCTGAAGTGAGTGCAACAGTACGCATGACCCGTTCCAGGCTAAAGGTAGCCCAAGCAACAGCGGCATCAATTCCCGAGGCACATGCCTCACCTAACAGAAAGAGGCTCCGAAAGGTATGCATATTTAGACAAGT